TCTGTAGTTGCCAGAAATAGAGCATTGTGCGTTCCTGTTGTAAATAAGCCAAGCCGTAAACCCCCACAGCGTTCCTGAACGGTCGGAGCAGACGGGACCTACCTTGGGCCCTGCGCTTGCAAAAAAACAATTTGCCGGTGTCCTGCAGACACCGCTGTGCTGTGCTGTTTGCCGGGTTGATGTTTTGAGAACTTTACTCACTTAGTTCAGAAGCCGACAAAGTTTGTTTGGACATTTGTCATCTCATGGGAGCACAAGCAAGAAGTTTTGGAGAGGAATCGTGATGTAGGAGGGAGTACCACTTTGCAATATGCACATGTGGGGGTTACACAGGTTCGTACCGTTCATGGTTGCAGCCCAAGTGCAGTGCAACATGTGGTACTTGAGATTCCAATGTCACCAATGGTTTTGCTCCGAAGAGCCTGAGCATTGACACTTTGAAGCCAAAGCCATCTGCCAAGAGTGTATGCAGGTCGCTTGCAATCGCGTGCAGCGGCTCCATCTACACAATGGTATTTCATGCGTGCTGCATATTTGGCTTTCGGAGATCATTGCAAGATGGTACCCTACCGCAGCAGCAGTTCTCATGGAATTGTGTATTTATTGTCGGCGAAAACGGCGACGGCTTGCAATCAAGCACAACCAAAGTGCAAAACAAAAACATCTTTACATTGGACTACTTAGGCACGGCTTGTCATTGCGAAATGGTGTTTGCATAGTGCCGAAATGGTGGGCGTTCGTCAATGTGGCTTGTTTGGCGATGTTGTTGTGACAGCACTCTGCATGTGCTTTTCGGGTTCATGCGGATATCGAGATTCCGAAACATGCTGCTTCGCTTCACTCCAGATTAGTACTTGTGGTTCTTCCAGAAACTGTTTGATACAACATTTTTCCATGAAGCCACGCGTTTTATGACTCAACTTGCCAGGTTTTGTGGCCGAGCTCCATGGTGTCGCTGGCTTTGACAGGATGCAAGGGAGCAGGATGCATTTGGGTTCGTGTGTTCCAGAGTGTTTCCTGGGGTGGCTGAGTGTTGATGCCGTACTGCTGTCGATGCTGGCGATGCTATGTGGCATGCAGCATGCACTATCCAATCAGTATGCGCTTGTCAAACTATCAGGTTGTTGTTCGAAGGCAGCCAACGACGAACAGCGACAAGGCAACGGATCATGAGAGTCCAATGTTTTCGTGGCTTGTGCATTGCACGAAGATTTGAAAGGTTTGTAGCAGATCACGGCGTGATCGAGCAGGTGTCTTTCCTGGAGAAGGGAGATCAGATCACTGCCATAGAGGCCTGATCCGCGACCTTGTGCTTCCTTCACAACTAGCGCTCCTGAGATTCAAAGTCGTCGGAACCCAGCATCTCATTCACGATTTCGGACGGGATTGGTTGATAATTTGTATGGCTCATGCACGTCTTCGGCATGCAGAAGATGCAGTGATTGCCGAATTCAGTTTAGCATGTTCTGGGCTCGTCTAGACAGTTATTTGAATACACCTCACATATCCAATATAACGTAGTTTTCTGTCAAAATCAAGAGTCTTAGCTCGCAGATCGTAGGCATGCGCGTTAGCTTGGTGCTGTGCCATGAAGCCATCTGAAGTGCTTTCGGCGTCAAACTTGCAGAAGGCACGAACTCAGGAGCTCTGGTTTTAGGAGGGCCACGGCTGTGAAATTTGGGCGGGCATAGGCGAGCATGGAGCATTTTGCTTGAGAGAAGTATCCTGGAACTTGTGAAGAGCCGTTCGAGGATCTTGGCCATGGTGCACCGATTCGAAGTGTAGTGCTCCCGGCCGCATGCAGATCCCCACAGGCCGGAGGCATCAGTCACAAGCTCAACTGGATGGAGACCCTGCATTAAATTTCCGCCCAACCATCAGGAGCTGCTGGTCAATCCACAACCAGGTTGGAAGGACACCTTCAACTCTCACGTGCATAGTTCTTCTTTGTTTATCAGGTGTGGCGATGGAACCACTCAGGGATGTCCTGACCTTTCAGCCTCAACTCCGCAAGCCACGCAAGTCACAGGCAAGTCGGATCATGATGATCCTGCCGTAAACACAAGTTCGTGTTCCTCAGTTGGGCTTTCCAACTGTTTTGCCGAGCTGTGGTATTGGCCGTGTGCAGGTGCCGCCTCCAGAGCATCTTCGTGATCGTGTTTTGCAGACACGGGTTCTGGATGATTCCTTGAAGGACATTCGAAAACTGCGTGGGCGATGTCGGCGCCTGGTTCCGTGCAAGTGCAGGCTGACTGCCTGGAGCGACTGGCCGGTGCTGCCCAGCGGGCGCCCATGGTCGGTTCCCAGAGAGTGAGGAAAAGATGCTGCTGCTAGTGACTTAGTGTCAAAAGCTTTCTGAGGTTCGGAGAGCATCATGGTCAGATGTCGCACCGCCTCCACCGCCCGAGAGCGATGACGAGGCAGTGGATGCCTTCCAGTTTTGCAGTGTGCCACGAGAGCCATGGGCACTTTTCCAGGTCATAGAGTTCACAAAGGAGGATCTCTTCAAGGAGGATGCTCCGACGATGGAGGAGCAACCTCAAAAGTCTCCGGAAGCCAGTGGGGAGGCCAGGTACACGCTAGTGTTTGTGCAGAAGAAAGTTGCCTCATGTTGATGCTTAAGTGCAAGATCGTCCAGGATATGCATTCTCTCGAGCCACAGAACGAGGTCTCCAGTTTCCACTGCAAGCCTTCTCGAAGTGCACGCGCTTTCAGTATCTTGTAAGCATGTTCGGAAGTCTGTGTTGTCAGACGCTCGATGCGGATCTCCGTGTGCTGACGCCCTCGGAGCGTTCGGCACCTTCTGAGCGACGGGAGGCCGTGGGGTTGTGACACGTGGGCGACGTGGGCTTGTCGTGTTGGACGAACGACTTCTGGCCAAGGAAATCGCAACACTTTTTCAATGCAGTGAGCGGTTCAGGTCGCGTCAGTCGCTGCTATGAATCTGACGGATCTTCTGGCAGAGAATGAGAAACTCAGAGCGGCGGCTTCTCGTTGCAATCAGTGCCTCTTGCCAGAGCGTTCTTGTAAACAGCTTTGTGCAAGGCAGGGCTGAGCGAAAATGAACACTTCTCCTGGCGTCCCGGTGCGACTATTCCGGCACACTCTGGCGCCTTGCCGTTCCTGATCTTTCCTGATTCCCATGTCGATTCTCCCTCTGCTGCACACTTTCGCTTTGGCTTTTCAAGGGCTGCCGGTGGAGACCAGCCAGCCCCGTGGCTCTATGTGCCGCAAGCGGGGCACCGAGGCCCCGAAGCTAAAGTGTGGCTAAGGTCGACCATATCACCCGCAAGCGAGGTTGATGCCCAGATATCATGATCGCACCAAGGTAACAGACTTCTACGGTGACTGGAGCACAGGTTCTGCGGGCTTACCGCACTGGCACTACAAGAGCTCTAGCACCCTGGCTGCACGTCAAGTTGCAAGTTGAACGCGCCAGATGCATCCAGACACCTGCTGCAGTGTTCCGTGATTGGAGGTCCGTTTCGCAGAAGATCGAAGACCTTGCCCAAAACGCCTCGCTGCTAAGTTAGGGTCGCTGGATGTCAGACTGCGTCGAGGGTGGAGGTTGGTATGACTTTGGCATGAGGAGCTTGCAGTCGAGTCCTTCATCCGTGGAGGTTCTGCCACCGCTCAGCCAGGCTCAAATACCAAGCCAGGAAGCCACACGTTTCCCTTTGCCGTCTCTGCGCTCCCGGCAGGCGCCAGTCTCTGCACATCTCGAAGATGCACGGCAGGCATCGGCAGGCTGTAGAGACTTCCGTCGTATTGCACGATACGCATCGTGCATGGTAGCCAGGCCATCTTCGCTGCACGGGGCATGAGCAAGTCTCCGCCTTGGACCTCTAGCCGGCGTTCTTTCGATGCTCAGTGCTGGCATGATGGTCTGCGGTCCGTGGTGGCCCTTTTTGACTCAGCCGGCTGCGACCATGCGGCTGTGCTGACGTGAGGGTTACGCGGTCATGGGGGTCAGCCTTGAGCCAGTCGCCAGCTACATCTCCCTAGGGCTCCTCACATTCGCAATGTATTTGCAGTATTTTGCAGTCTCTTCAATGGCCGCATCGCCCGAGGCTAGGGGTGCAGCGAGGCTGCGACTCGCTGCTTCGCTTGTCGCTTCGTGCAGACCTCGAAAAGCGCAATGTCTTGGAACTTATCCTCAGAGCAGGGATGCGAAGTAGAGCTGAGGCTTTGTGACCCAGGCAACGTGAAACTCAGCGTATCACAAGACAGGATCTGCCCTCCAAAGGAGAGCTGTGAAGGAAAAAGAGGATAAGTATGGAAAAGTGCTTCACAGGGGCTGCGAATCTGGGCAGCGGAGCTTTGCCCGGAAGTCTCCGTGCCAGGTCTTCACAGAGCAGGGCATCGAATGGGCGAAGCTGGCCAAAGGCTCGGTGCGACAAAAAGTTTTGCTATGTTTTGCTTGTTCTGTGAGATTTTTGTGCGAAGAGACGTCGCAGCTGTAGCTGATGTGGTGTATGCGATGTCGTGGCTGGGAGGTGCATGTGCCATACGCAGCCACATGCAACAGGAGGCGGGCAGGGATCGCTCGTAGCACGAAACCGCGGAACATGTTCCAAGCACAGGTGCCGCTGGACCTAGCAGAAGATGGCTTCGTGGCGACAGTCGGGGACTCGTCTGGGCTCCGGGTGTCTCCGTGTGCGGAAACTGTGTTCTCTGCACACTCTCCAAAACGAATAACAGAGTCTGCTCTGCTGCTCTTGCAAGCGACTCTGGGAGCAGTGTAGGACGCATCGATAAGGCCCTGGCGCCCTTCGGCACACAGCTGCGGAAGCAAACAGCGGCGCCCGCATGTTGCCGCAGTCCGCAGTTGGATGGCGAACAAAGGGCAGTTCTGCCGCCAGGAAGCCATTCAGGATGGGGCGGCCAATGCAGTGCTTTCGAAGAAGGTCATCAACGAAGCTTGGGGCTGAGTGCAGGTGCTGGCCTGTGGCCTGCTTTGTGTCCATTGACCATTGATACATGATCAGGTCCTGTCCATGAGCTCCGATCCAGGCCACATATTGCACCTTCCCAAACCTGTGCACGGCACAAGAAGGACACGGTACTCGAATTTGTGACTGCCGCAGTTCATCTTACCTGGATCAAGAAGTACAGATGTGGATAGTTATCAGTGCATGAAGTATCTAGTGACAGTACCGATATAAGTCGGATCACAGTCTGTGATGTGTGATCCGATGTCTCATGCTGACAGATCCTCCAGAATTGAAGAGGCGTCGTATCAAGGTAGCGAGGCGCCATCCATAGAACGCAATCTTCCGTTTTAATATCTCCGATTGTGCCTCTCTCTTGCAGGTGCACGGCTCAGAATGTTTGAGCGTTATTGCTTTGTGTGTTTTACAGGGATCTCGGGTGCGCCAACTCCGGGCTTTTGGCCTTCCTCGCATGCCCGTGAATCCCAAGTCTGGAGAAGCGCTCCGAGTCGATATCATCTGAGAAAGTGCAAGTGTCAGAAGGCCAGCAGGAGTATGTGGCAAACCAGAGCCCAGAACGATGCGAGGCACGAGCTAAGATCGGCTGCTAGTCCTGAACTCTTTCCGACTTGCAGAACAAACCCAATCGTGTCAGTCAGGGCTGCTGGTGGGCTTTCTTCCCGAGGTCAATGCGGCTTGCTAGGCATTGCTCCTTCCGATTCTGTGGTGTGCTCTCTCGAACGCTCTTCGGGGCTGGGCCTAACAAGAGGGGCTTGGAGCGTCATGCGTTTTTCCGTCGTTTGGCGGGTAGAATCCTTGCTTCCGGGTCGAGTGCTGACTGAGGTTGAGCACGACCTTCCTGTGTCTTCACCAGAGATGGTGCGACGGGCTGCGATGGGGCAGGGCTGCTTCGAAGTATTCTGCTCTTGACTTGCATCAGGCTCCCATGGAGTCGCTTGATGTGGCTTCCAAGAAAGAGCTGCTGAAATCCGGCCGCAAGGCCAGGTGGTGCCCCAAAGCACGGACCAGCCTTGAGATCTCTCTCCAAGACAGAAAGTGTGGCTGCGACGTCCATTAAACCGCAGAGAGGGAGAAAATGAGGGCCGGGCCCTGGCCCTGGCCCTGGCCCCCTTGGCCCCCTTGGCCCCCTTGGCCCCCTTGGCCCCCTTGGGCCCTTGAATTTTTCTGTCCGCTGCGGAGAGGTGCCGCCTTCGCCTCCCAGGCCCCGGCCAATGCCCGCTGTCGAGGCAGGGCTCCAAAGAAACCACAGAACACGGTTACGGTGTAAGCTCAAACAACCAAGCAGAGTAAGCACAAAAAAGGATCCAGAGGCTGTGTTGCTTTCGTAGGAGCACGGATGTCTAGCCATGTTAAGGAAGCAAATGGAAGCTTGTTTTCCTGGAACGGCAAGGCCTTGGCATGCCAAGATTATGTTGTGTCGTGGTTGGTGGCACGCCCTATGCACTTTCTTTAATGTTGATTGATTTCGAACACGCTTTCCACTCTTTTCCGGAGCGGCCTGGCCAACTTCACGATGCTTCCGCGGATGCCAGCAGACAGCCCTCGCAGGTACCTTGGTTCATGCTGGGGGAACCTGCCATTGACACTTTGACCAGGCCTCAGTGGGATTGGGCTGTACACGGCCTAAGATTGGCGTACGGAATCTTGAGGAATTTCACGCTTCTATTGGGAAAGTAACAGGCAGTTGTAGCTGTTGCTTGTGGTGCGGTTTTAGTAGTTGCATACGACGACGACAGCCAAGGCAAGCCAACCCAAACATTCACAGGAGTGTCCCTCATCACAGCACCACACCATCACCAACCTCACGTGCATCGACGGAAGATTCCTTCACTTCACCATCGACACCGTCGAAGCACCTCTGAGAATACTAGCAGTTTACGCCCCACACAATCAGCGAGAACAGCATTGCCGCGACCACTTCTGACAACACAGAGGAAGGAGACTCTAACCAATGACAGTTCCACGACCTCCTCTCCTCACAAGACTACTTCCTCCCACAAAGCCGGATGGAGAAGACACCACAACACCGCCGCACCCACAAGCAATCCACCGGCGACATGGATGGCGATGACGACAACTATGATGATGGCGATGACGATGACAATGTTGCTCCCTGTTGCCGCTGTTTTCTGTTACTGTACTTGTACCCCCCACTACAAAAGTCTCGCGTTTTGTGGGCTTTCCAGTCAAAACAGACGCCCAACTCAAGCAACAAAACAACGATAAACACGGTATTTGCGACGCTTTCGCAAAATTCACACCAGAGAAGAACACAAGAATCATGGACACACAAGTGTCAATATATCCTCCTCTTCACAAAAAACCATACAAAACTCGAGGTTTTCGCGCCTTGACAGAAAAATCTCGCAAAAAGAAGGAGACACCCTCCGTGGCGGCAGACGCAACGCCTACCCTGTTCTTCTTGTTGTTGCTGTTGTTGTGGGGTATTTTTTTGTTTCCTTGTTGCGGCACTATGTTTCGTTGCACAGAGGTAGCGAAGCACAGATACTTCTTTTGTTTACTCAAGGTGCACCGGCGCACCCAGCTGCTATTTCTGCCAGACTGACTATCTAATCTGAGCAGATTACAGTCATTCGAGCTCCTTGCGGTGGTGCCTCATGCATGGAAGCTGCAGCCCTGGACCATTGTCCTCACGGTGCAAGTCTTTGCCCCGGCAAAGACAGTTCTAGCTGGCGACTTGCATCCGAGCACGGTCTTGGTTGCCACCCCCAGCGAAGGAGTGTTGTTTTCCTGTAAGCGCGGGCTCCACCGCCACGATACCTAAATATTAAATACGCATTTGCATCATTTTCTCGATGAAATAGTTTTGTGTATGCTATGTGGCCCATGCAAAATCAAGGCAAAACCATTTCGCCCCGAAAGAGTAGAGTTCGCTCGTTGAGCCTGTAACAAAAAATGAAAGTTGCAAGAAGCTTCCCCTCCCTGCCGAGGAGCAATCATCCCGTGATGGAGACCAACCTTTTGATTGGAGAACCCACGGCAGTCCGCGCCTTCGGATTGCGTAAATGCCGGGCTTTAGACTCGGATGAGAAGACGAAGAGCCTTTTGATGGTCAGAATCTGTTCGTTTAATAAATGCTTTTGACGAGTTCCATCTGAGGTCAAAGCTGCTCCGTTTGAATCGCTCCCTGACTCGCATGGAGACAAGGCGACGGGTCCGGACTGTCAGAACTCAGTCTCTTGCATTGCGTTTCGCAGTGGCCGGCAGGATATAATCAACGTCAGGGTGGCGTCGCCGGCACAAGAGCAGCACCTCAAGCTTGGTCTGGGTCTTGGTGGCCACAAGTTACTGGATAACACGACGGGAATCTCATGCCTGCCTGGAGGCGTAAGTCCAGTCCTGCTGGCTGCCATCGACCAGGCCTGGCCATCGGGGCAGAGCGTGCGCGTCACGTTCTATGCATAGGAATGCTTGGTTGACAGGCCTGCAAGACCGCCTGAGTCGCCCGAGGAGCCACAGGCGCGTGGTTTGGGTGGCTAGGCGAGCCTTCGGCTGTCGCATTCCTTCGTATCTGGCCAGGCGGTTCATTTGGCTTTGTCCGTGTGAGAGCCTTGGAGATCTCGATCTTGCCAGCCCCGGAATTTGTGCGGCTAGGTACTGTGAGAAGTTGACATCGTTGCCGGAACCGTTTGCATGCAGCAGTACTTGGGCAAACCAAAAACATGACGTCACCGAATTGCGTGAAGCTGGGGTTTGCGCACATCGCGATCGGCCATCTACCATACGTGAGTCTTTTGAGCACATTGGGGGGTCGTTGCGTTCGGGGTGTTTGCTTGGGGTTTGACATGTTACATCATGTTACGCTGAGAGGCACGATAGGCATGCAGGAGTGGAACGCGGGCTTAAACAGAATCACTGAAACCTACTTGGAGGCTCCCACATCATGGTTCGAAGGCACCATACACAAGCCTACAACGTGGTCCTTGAAATAGGATGCAGGTTCAGAAACTCAGGCCTCAACGACATTGACAAACGACACACACACACACACACACACACGCAGCCGTGGCATCGTAAGTTTACAAGAGCCATGTTGCAAGTGAGGGTCACTGGCGATCTGAGCTTCCAAGGAGGATTTTTTACCGCGGGCATACAGGTGCTTCCAAGTGCACAGTCCTGAAAAGAGATGGCCGGTATGACGGCGACCCTTCATGGGTTCGGTGACGGAGTAAGAGAATGCACAGTACGTACTTTCTATGTTCTCCTTCACAGAAAGCGATCTGAACCGTCCCCGTGTAGCCCGTCGCAGGTAGGTGGCCTAGGAGCCGCTTTTGTCGGCTGCATGGGAGGAAAGATCTAACAAGCAGAAATATGCAGTTGCGGTAAAGCAGAGGGTACACTCCGATTTTTAGAGCGGGTTATACTGTTCTGGCTTCGTGCGAGCTCGGCGGGCTCATGCTTCGCTGACAGCGCTTCGCATGAAACCCCAGCAGCCAGCAGCTCGCAGGCCCTTTGAGCAGAATCATATTTAAATTTGCGCGTCGATGTCAGGACCCGGTTCCTGTGAAAACTAGCATGCTGCTTTGCATTGCTTTGCTGTGTTTCAAGTATGCTCGAGTTTGCTGTGCTTTCCGGGTCGCCTTGACACTCTGAGTTCCGAGAGGCTTAGGTGCAAAACTGCCGGCCAGGAAGGATGCGATGCTGGCACTAATCGCGTGGCAAAGAAAGCGCTCCAGACTTGAACCGCTCCACTTCTCCATCCTTCTGATCGTGGCGGTCCAGTGGCAAATGCTGCATTTTGAAGCTGCAGGGCCATTGGAAATGCATTGACTGCCCTTTGCTCAGACGACGCTGCTGACTCTTTTAATCATTGTTCAAGCGCAGTTCCTTCTGATCGCTTAATGCTGCTTCCCAAGATTCGTTTGTCGGCCTGGTTTGCATCGTAGCTGTTGCCATTGTGCGGTGAGTGCTGGACGGGAGTCAGAATCAAGCCTGTCAGTGCCTTTCAATGCTTGTGTTACTGCTTGGGGAGCAATCTTCCACACAGGAACGGCAGAACGTACTGCGAGAGAGCAGTTTGCGCTTTCGCAGCAATCCCGACCAAGTCACAGGCAACCAGGTTGAGCATCAACAGCAAATTTGAGCTTCCTGAACCCAGAGGACCAGCTCTAGGGACTGCCTTGCCCTCTCTGGTTGCCCTTGTTGCCCTTTTCTCTGAAGGCTAGAAGCCGTTGCTGTGCAGGTGTAGCAGTAGGACACACGGAGATGTTCCCTTGTGGCACATCATGGCGCATCTACAGAGAATCACCATGAAGCTGTCGGACAGTTGAGTTGGAGAGAGTACCCAAGGAGGAGTATGAAGGGTGGCAATCAATAGGATTACAGAGCACGTCACATGCAGTTTCTGTCAACGAAAGCGAAAGCACATATTCCTTACTGAAATGATGTTGCCAAAGGGGTACTTCGGAAGCCATGTACGGGCTCCATCGTTGTCACCTTTCCCATGGCCACCATGGTCGGCCAAGGGGTCGTTAGCCTTTTTGAAGCTTACTATTATCTGCATGCAATATGTTACCCACACCGTGGCTTATGACTCCGGCGGTGCGCAAATGACGCACACATGCATCTGCAGGCGGCTGTCAGGCAAGATGTTACATTACTCGATTCATAGTTTTGTTTGTGAAGGTGCGTCCTGAAGTAGCTAGTAGCTACCCTGTCTTGCTGTGCTGCCGCCAAATCTTCCACGGTGCTCAGCACCCAGTGACTGTAGTCTGTCTGCACGTGCAATGCTTGTGACCCACGAATGACGAACATTTGTCACACTAGACGAGAGCGATGTCAAATGCTTTGTTTCTTCTTGACGTCCATGCGCGATTTTATCGCGAGAGAGCTTTCTACAAAGACAGTATATGGTGTGTGCAGACCCCGCGCTACCCATCCAAGTGCGGAGCACCGTCACAGCTTAGAGCATCTCGCATCCTGGCCGGTTAGTTCTGGTTATGGGCAAGCCCCTCCAGCGATCGACAGGTTGTTGATCTGAAACACAGGACTATAGCAGGAGGTGGCTTGCTAACCTGCTGTCATAGCGAAAGAGATAGTGATGACTTTGTTGTGTGCCGGTTTTGCCGACCTGCGCCAGCCACGCTCAGTTCCCTTTCTCAAAGACCTGGTACAGGAACGGGCGTATGTGCGTACGTAATACATTACGTAAGGTGTGTCATTCTTCCGTGTGCGGCTTTGACTCGTGGGACGAGCATTTGGCAAGTACTCGCAGGAGGTGTGAAGAATTAGTTTTCAGCCTGCACGGTGTCTTGTAGAAGAAGGCGGGCTGAAGGGAGCAGGTTCCCTGACGCTTGTGCCATATACGGTGAGCTTCGCTGAAGCATGGGATACATGTCAGCTGCCAGGCTGTAGAGACCAGAACATCAACTGTGCACTGATCGTCCCGTGCAAAAGAGTGCACTTCGACTTGCTCGCAGGCACTTGTTCTTTCTGCGATCCTTCGGTCATTGCTCGTGTTTCTGCTCGAGAGCCCAAGCTGCAGTTCGCTAGCGGAGGGCCAGGAAAGGGTGATGCTGGCGACCAGAGCCGGCCGTGCCTCTGATGATCCTTGAGCCTGTAACTGCAAGTGCGAAGCGATCGGCCTCCCTGCCAGCGCAGAGATCGCAGAGGCCGACCCCACGCAGTGTGAGCCCTTGCCCTTCTCTGCAGTACCCCTCGTTCCAGTTCTTCAAACCTCCGAAGCCCCTCGAGCTGGCTCCTAGCGCTCCTAGCCTTGCCACGGCTGCTACAGACGGGAAGCTGGGCGCCTGTGCCCGTCCATCGCTACCTGACCCTGTTCCATTTCTGACTCACCCGACTCCTCGCTTTGCTGAGGCTCCGGTGTTGGCTCCGGTACTCCCAGCTTTGGAGAGCAAGTTTCAGTTTCTGAAGAGCCCCACCCGAAGGGAAGCTGGAAATCGGGACAACTCTGACCTGCAGGAGCTGGAACGACATGTGCTCGAACTGGTGCAAGGTCAGCACGGTCTGCGCAGAGAGCTTCAGGCCTTGAAGCAGCAAGCAGCAGCTCAAAGTCGTGAGCTGGAGTCAATGCGTAAGAATGTTGGGCGTCCAAAGTTGCCACCAACACGCAGTCCGGATGTTCCTCTGCCTCTGTCGTTCCGTGATGGGAAGCCAGCCTCGGAAGCTCGAGCACGATCAGGGAGTCGACCTCGGATAGCCGAAAGTGCCCCGGGCGATCCCGTGGTGAATCCTGCGGCTTCAATGCCAAGCCGCAGTCAAAATTGGGATGACACTGTTGCAGATTGCTTGCTCTGTACGAAGTAGTCTATGAAACGAGCCGAAGCGAGATGCTGGAGAACATGTCATGAGTCTACTGATGTCTGCTGCGCCGAGCCTGGAATCTGTCGTTCACTGCGAAGGAACACGACATCTTATCAGAGACGGCAAAAGTATCTCTCTGTCGTGCTTCGGCAAGGCCTCCAGCTTCCATTGGAGGTGAAGTATTGGACACGCCAGCAGCTGGAAGTGTCTGGATCTAAGTGGGCAAAAACATGAACAGGCCTCGTTCAGAGTCTCAACGTGGGCAGGTTCGTCATGAGCGGTGGCGTTCTGCGGCCCAAGAACTGCTCCATGCCCGATGAGCGACTACTGGCCCTTTGGCTCGCAAGTAGGTTGCGACTGACGCTTGTGTGACGTCTTCTTGAAGAAGGGTCTAAGTAGAGCCTCTCGCCACCTGTCGGATCTACAGTTCGTCGGGTATGAGTTGTGGCTCTTGCCTCGTTGTCTTCTGCGCATCTCACGAGGCAAACGCGTCCATGAGCAAGGATGAGATTGTTCACTCCCTGGCCCAGGCTCGCACGGCCAGTCGGGAAGTACTTTCCGAAATCAACACCTAGCGGCCTAGCGTACCTCAGCTCTGTCTAAGCATCCGCGAGATTGTGCGAAATTGTCGCACTTGTCATTGGGTCATTTGGGTCATGAGCAACACGGAGCAGTTCTGTATGTATTCCGTGGTTGTGCTTGTTGATGCGCAGCGGTGACTCAGACCAAACAACTGGTAGCTCTGCAAAAGGGCACAGGCTTTAGAAATCATGATTTACGCGTTGATCCTGTTGCCTACCGCTTCGTTGTCGTCCTGTGCCATAGACTCTAGACGTGACTCGCCCGACAGGGCTTAGACAGCTCGACTCGTCAAGACGCAGCCTTTATCGCTGTGCTGCAGGCCGCGGAGTGGATCGCCAATGCAGATGCGCTGCTAATTGGCAGCGGCGCATGGCACTGAGGGTGAGCATGTACGAGAATGAGCAACTAGCAACGGCGAACGTTTCGAGGCCGGGATGGGCGTGGACTCCGGACTGGGTACTTTCCGTGGCGGAAAGAAAGGCCCGCGGCTCAGCATGCCCAATCGCCACACGCCAGACCACTGAGGACTAAAATGTGAAGTGTCTTCCTAAGGTGTCTGGGATGGCCTGGAGGCAGTTGGTTTGGCATACGAGGTCTGAGATGTCCACAGTCTCAGCCGCCACTCAGGGAACATAGAAGTCCCATCTGCCAGGAGATCTGCGAGCCACGATGGTTCGACGAGGTCTCAGCTTCAAGATACTTGCAGCCCTGCGCTGCCTCACGGCTAGCTACTCTCACCAATTTCAGACTACATGTCTTAACTTAACTCTTTTTTTCGGTTCTGCATGTTCGTCAGTGTCAACGGTTCACCTGCCGAGTTGCATCCCACATGGCTTCAAGCCTCCAATCGTCTTCGAACCTACCTCCTCAAAGGGGGCTCTTTTGCAGATGAAATGAAACGCCTCTTTTGCTTCATCCAATCTGATGGGCCTCTCACACGTCGTTGTTCTCTTTGCTGCATTCCCATCTCCACTGCTCCCCCTCCCCATATCCACAATGATGGGTTCAAGCAATTTTCGTGAGACCTCCGGCGATCCGCGATTGGCCTGGGGCTTCTGGAACCATTGCTACCGCGCATACCAGGACAGCCGGGTGCCCGTGAATGTGGTATACGCTGTGAGCAAGTTGCCGCCCTGCAGAGGAGACCAAACCACACTCGGGTTACGGTGCCCTGAAGCAGCTCGGTGTGGCTCTTGGCCACCAGCATGTCGAGGGTTCGACGAGAAGCGATTCGTAACTCCGTCCAGATGGTATCACAGCCGCTGAGTATCTACTGAAGTGGGAAACCGTCTACCGGAAAAGGTGTCGGAAATTGATCCAGAAAGCTGTCGCTGACTCGCATCGTCAGCACACACCACAGAGCATCAGAATGCTTTTGCAACTCTGCATCCCACGGCTTGAGCCTGCAAGATGAGGTCTCCCTGCAGACTCAAACCCTGGCTGGCCCTACAAATTAGTAATTATTTGTGGTAGCAGCCAGCAGCAGCATCTTTCCAGCCATGCCGATCTCCGGGCTGCTAAGTGCTGCAGCGCTTGGTGGTGTGGGCCAGACAATATGGCAATACAACCGAGAGCGACTTGGACCAACTTGTTGGCACCGGTTTTGTCTGCACCCTCAGACAGTTCAGTAGAGATGACACTGGAGCAGGTTTTGTGCTGTGCTACCAACATCACTGTAGGTTTGATCGCTTTCTCAGGAACTACATGTTTGATGTCCCTTTACGACAAGCGCGTGAGTTCCAAGTGCAGAACGTGAATCTTGCACGCAGCCTGTCGATTGACTGGTAGTTCTTCTGGTCCAGGAACATCAGCTCCCAGCTCATGTTTGAGAGACGATTGCCTTCTTTGAACGTCTGCTGTGCTACTTCCTCTTCTGACTGCTGCTGAGCCGTTGCTGCTGCTTCTGTTGCCGCAGCGCATCGTATGCAACGGAATGTTTAGGAACAGTCAAGCATCACCTGCAGATTCAAGCGACTTTCGAGTTCAAGGTTTCGCCCTGTTCCGAGAAGACATCCGGGACCTTGCAGCTTTGACGACTGACAAGGTCCAGGTTTTCAGCGCAAGATAGCGCAAACCTGATTTCCTTCTGCAGCAGGTGGCAAACCTGCTGATCGTCAACACCCTCAAGGCTATGCGAGCTTGGGGCATGGGAGAAGTCGCATTGGATTTGAGCTTGCCTCACTTGCTCTTGCATCGACGGCAGGTTGGTTTTATTGCCACCTGGCCAACTTTGGAAGCGTTGGACTTTGTCGTCTTTGTTGGCTGTGAAGGGGTGCATGTCTGTTGCCAATCTGACTGCATTGCTGTCGTCGTCAACTGCTAAGCCTACATAAGCACCTGTGGGAAATCTGCCGCGATATCGTCCACGTGTTTGCCGTGCTGTTTCCCCGAGCTTGGCACGCGTGTGACAGCATTTCGTTGGGAAATTAAATGGCCTCACTGGTCCTGTCGCGTTTTGCTCGGGGATTAATTTTGCGCTGTGTGGGTAAAAAGCGAAGGTCCGGAGATGTCTTGCTTGGTGCAATCTCATCATCGCGTCGTCAGCACTAGCAGTACGACAACATGGTCATAGACAGCGTTTCCGCATGTCGTCTACGTGGCATTACTTCGACCACAAGCCATATCCAGGTAGCACTGTATTTCAATTTCGACCGCACCGACAGCGGATTCCAAGAACGGACCTATCAGGAGGATCAGCTCGCTGTGCTTCTGCACCTTGGAAAATACAACGGGGGCAATCCGACGTGTTTTTGTGATGCCTTGTGTGGCAAGCTTTGTCCTTCAATATCCTTCACTAAGGGGAATGACTCTCCTGACGTCCTTTTTTTTCCTGATGACCTCGATGCCTGGATGCAGACATGGGGTTGCATTCTGTGTGGAGTGCTCCTCAGCTCCTCGCTGCCCCACTGCCGTGTATGATTCCAACCCTTTTACAGTAGCTAATTAGAGAACTACTGCCTGCAGTCAAGTAAGCCGTGCGGCCAGTGTGGTGCCCAGGATATGGTTCGCCATGCACGCGCTGCAGCTGGCTCAAGCTATCACAACCAAGCCTCTTGGTGGTGAACTCGCACAGACACCATCAAACGGCGCTCCGCAGTTCTGTGGTGTTCCGTGGCCAGGCTGCTGGTGCAGGTCGTGCGCATTCCCATGCCATCTGAGATCGAGATTGCCAAGGTTGGCCAGGGCTAAGAGGCTTCTGAAACAGTGCCAGCATGTGTCGTTATAAGGCGGGTACGTTAAGCTTTAAAAGCAGACCTCACAGAACATCGGCACGTGTGGGAACATTTCGGATCAGGACTGCAGGACGACGGCGACAGGACAGCAATAAGAGGCTAGCAGCAACGACCAGCAGGACAAGGTCACTTTGGTGTTAGATGGACACGTGCCGACGCGGGGCTTAAATGAGCAGGCAGGTGATGTGTCAGGAAGGCAAGAGCACAGGAATGTTCCTTCAAGAAGCTGTAATGACATGTGATGTATGGTTTTGGGTTGCAATACTTAGCCAGATGAGCTGCCCGATAGGAGCAGCAGTTAAGTTACCATTACCCCCGGGCCTAGCACTCTCTTTGGGGCGGGGTTTCTTGCGGAAAGGTGTGGACCCCGGGCGGCGGCACTAAGGTCTCTTGCCCGATGAGCACCCCCTTTC